GTCGGGTTCAGACCATAAAGAAAAATGTAATGAGGAATCACTTGCGCTCTCAACCAGAGACAGGTTGTGGCTGAATGTTTTGCATATTTACATGGGCATGCACCTTTGCAAAAATCAAATGTTAATTACACAGCTTCAAGTCCTGACATTTTTCTCTCCACATTGTGCAAAATGTTTCTCTGATGGTTACGGGTGCTGGCTTTCAGATGAATCATAGCAAAGTGAGGGTTGGCACACGGGACAGTAGACAGCGCTTGATTATTGTAGGATTGCTGTGCCATGGACTAAGGCAGATAGGCATAGGGGGAAGGGGTTACAAAGACAGCAAATGGAAAGGGCATCCCAGCAGAGACAGCCATTCTGGGATCCAAAGCACAGAGCTGGCCGGGATCCAGAGGCAGAGCTGGGCCCAGGAGGATGCTGCCAGCCATCTCTGAGGGATGCTGATGTTGAAGATCTGCTAATGGGCTTTTAATGGGGAGAAACATCAGACTGTCGTTTTAGAGAGATCACCTTCTGAATACACTTTTGTTATGGATTTGAACGGTAAGTAGGCAAGGAAAGGCTGAGGGACTTTTGGAGCTGCCTGGTGAAAAATGGTTGAACCTGAACAGCAGCAATGAGGAGATGGATTCCCACAGGATTTAAAAGGTTCACCTGTCCAGGGGTTAGTAGCTTTGCCGTGTAGTAATTCACCTTGACCAATGAGATGTTCACAAGCATGGCTTTTATTTTATTATTATTATTTTTTTAATAAGGGCTGCCTTTTTAGTTTTTGAAAAGAATTTAAATAATTTTATCATGAAAAATATCTTGAATAGGAGCTGGAGATGTAGCTCAGTTGATTGAGTGCTTGCCCAGCATACAGGAAGCCATGGATTGGAGTCCCGTTGAGTAATTGTGCAGTGATGCATGCCTGTGATCCCAGCACTTGGCAGGTAGAGGCAAGCGGATCAGAAGTTCAGGGTTATCTTTGACTACATAGTGAATTCAAGAACCAGACAGGGGTACTTCAGACCCTGCTGCACACAAAACTCTTTAATGGACATATGGTGATTGCTCATATTTGTGAGATACAGTGTGACATTGCCATGCATGTACATAATGTATAATCACATCAGGAGATTATACATACATACATAAATGTATATCACCCAAGACATGAATCATTTTTTTTTGAGAACCCTCAAAATCCTCCCAACTCACTGTTTTTGAGATCTACAATAGATTGCAATCAACCATAGCTGACCTAGTGTGCCCCAGAACATTGGAAGTGACTCTTTTTCCTTAACTGCTCACCTGGACCATTAATGGTGATCTCCCTCCCTCTTTCTCTCTCTTGGCCAGAGTGAAAGGCACTTAACGTGGTTGGGCTGGCTTGCTCGTGGGCTGATGACTTATCAACTTAGCATGGGATAAGTACTGGTCTACTGGGTCCGAGAGGAAGATGGGAAACTGATGGAGCATAGTCACCCCAGTTTAACCTCTCCATCTGAGGACAGAGCAGGGCCTCGGATTACTCACAGCCTTGTGACTTAGGCCAGCTGAGACCTTGTGACCCACAGGTGCCTGAGCTACAATAGGAAATGACGGACGATTTAGGATATGGTTTGGGGGTGGTAGAGTTGGTGGCATTTTGCCGATGATTGAGAGGCACCATTATCCCTGTGCTGGATGCAGTCCTGTATGCACCCTGAGGTGTGACAGTGAGCCTGACACATAGGTCCTGACACTCAGAGACCCGGGTTAAGGTAACAAAGTACCTCTCAATCTAAACTGCTTGCTTGTCAGTGTCATCTAACAGGAGAGGGTGAAGGAGGAAACTGTTTTGGGGAATGATACTGAGTTTGATTTAGGAAGGAGCTTGAGTTGCTCATGAGATGTCAGGCAGAGGAGATGTCCAAGAAAAAAAAAAAAAGAAATCTAAGTTTTATTACTGGAAGAATATGATAGCCAAATGGATAAGGTCTGTCTTGGGATTAAAAATGGAATTTAGCAAAATAATTGGCATCAGAGGGGTGGGGTGCTGTGGAAATTCAGAGCAAGAAGAGGATTTATGGCTGGGAAGGGGAAACATTGGTTCTAATGGTCACCCAGACACTGGGATTATGCTTGTGGGAATGTAAGAAGGCATACCAAACAATAAACACGATCCAGACAGGGGGACATGGATGGTGATAATATGGCAGAAGAGGCCTTGAATGGCAGGCCAAGGATGCTATCGTGTTTCTTTAGGAAAGGGGGAGCCCTTGCATGTTTCCGAGTGAGGAAGTGAGAGGGGGCACACAGGTCTGTGAGTCTGAGTCTGGAGGGGGAGTCAGGAGCTGGTTCTAGTCCAAGCGCTTCTGTTTAGAGGCCTTGAAGCATATGATACACTCAGTCTCATATAAAATAGAAGCAAAACCTCCTTCCTCCCTCTCCTTTCCTTTCTCCCCTTCCTCAGCTCTCTTCCCCTCCATCTACCCTCTCTCAGATCTCTTGTAGCTCAGGCTGGACAGGAATTCACTATGTAGCTAAGGATAACCTTGAATTTTTGATCCTCCTGCCTCTAATCCTCAACTCCTAAGTGTTGGGATTATGGTCACATGCTGCCAGGCCTGGGTTACATAGGGCTGGGGATCAAATTCAGGGGCTCTGCATGGTAGGCAAACTGAACCCCCCCACACACACACATCTTTTTTATCGTTTTGAAACAGGGGGAGGAGATTGCTGTGTCTCCCAGGCTGGCACGGAACATGCAGTCATCCGGTCTCATCCTTCCAAGTGCTAAGATTACAGGCACCTGCCACCACTCTTGGCTTCATTAAGAACTAGTTTTTTGAAATGTCATTAAGGCGCAAGGGTGGCTAAGTATTACTGCACTGGGGCCTGTGTAGCTTAAAGATGGTATTAGGATGCTCAGACACGTGGGCAAACTGCAGGTGGCACCTTGGTAACCTCTGTCCCTTGTCCTACCTAGGAGAGAGGATTGGTAGATGTCAAGCCAGGTACCCACTGGGAGCTGACAAAACTTCCCATTCTTGATAAACTGTGAGCTCTCCCACACTACCCTCTGCATAAACAAGGTTGTATTGTTTAGACTCTTACAGAGGAGAGGCCTAGGGCGGTAGCTGGATAACAGGGCTGTAGAACAGTCACACTCTTAAAGAGAGTTCACTCAGCAAGTTGGAGAGCTAGTTGAATCACAAGGGCTTATGCATCGAAAAGCAAAAATACAGGCTTCTGATGTGGGCCACATGAGTGCTCCAGACGCTCTATGATAGAGGGCTAGAAGAAAAAGGCAGAGGCCTGAGAGCCAGACGAAGGTTTAGGGAAGCATGATGGGAGGAGAGCCAGGCCCTGAACACTGGTGGTGGGGTTTGAGGGAGGAGGAGGAAGGAAAGGAAAGCCAAACCCCATCTACTGTAGCAGTTAAAAATAAAATGTGACCGCAATGAGGTCATATTTAGGTGTCTAGTTTAGGATGGCTGTTATGGAGAAAACAAAAACCAAATGTTGACAAGGATACAAAGAAACTGGAATTTGTACGTGTCCTGCTGAGGATGTAAAAAGGTATAAGACAGCACCATCGTTCTCGAATTTACTTTTTGTATGTGTTTTGGTGTGTTTGCATGCGTGTTCACACATGTGTGCCTGGTGCCCACGGAGGGCGGGAGAGTGATAGATCCCCTAGAGCTAGAGCTAGTTGACGGCTGTCATGTGGGCACTGGGAATTGAACCTGGGTCCTCCCGAAGTGCTCTCAACCACTAAGACATCTCTCCAACCCAGTACGTCGGTTCTTCAGAGAGGCAAACACAAAATTACCATGTAGCGAAGTGATTCCACTTCCAGGTGTAGACCAGAAAGAGCTGGAAGTGGGCCTTGAATAGACACTTGTTCACCCGTGTGACAGACCTGTTCAAAAGTGGAAGCCATCCCAGTGTCTGTGAACAGTGAAGAAACAGAATGTTCTAGACAGTGGAATCCCTTCAACCTTTCAAAAGAAGAAGATTTGTTCAGATACAGGCTACCACCTGAATAAACCTTGAGAATATTACACCAAGTCCAATAAATCAGCCATAAGAGAAAAACTCATGAGAGTTGTCAAATCTACAGAGGCTGAAACAATGGCTGCCAGGAGCTGGAGAAAAGAGGGATGGAGAGAGTGGCATTTAATAATATAGCTTTCTTTTTTGAGACAAGGACCCAGGGTAGCCCAGGCTGGCCCTTGAATTCTCGATGTAGCTGAAGATGACCTAATCCTTCTACCTCTTCCACTTTGGGATTACAGGTGTATACCACCACACCCAGGTTACATGGTTCCAGGCGAGATCTGCTAACTGAGCAGCATCCCAGCCCTGATGCAGAAATTCTGTTTGGGATGATGGGAAAGTTCTGGAAACCTTGATGGTAATGATCATGCAACATGGAAGTTCTTAATGCTATTGAATCATACACTTTAAAACCACACAAAAATGGTGATGCATCAATATGCTATACATGAGAGGAACTATATGAGAAAGAGACTCAAAATTGTTAAAATAGAATTGTATATTCACGAGAGAAAGACTGCTTAGATCTCAGAAGTATGCATGGCTTACAGTAGTTGAGGAAGAAGTAGGGAGACAAACAGGGTCCCCAATGGGCCTGGTAAGAAAGAAAGAGGTCTATGGGTCAGGGCAACTGCCTCCTCAGCTACCTCAAATAACCGTAAATGTAGGGAGCACAGTAGACATTTTCACATGGTATTTGAGAAGGGTTTCTTAGAGGAAGCCAACGGGTTAGACTTTCTTCCTGTTTTTTTTTTTTTTTTTCTCCCAGGCCTGCCTGGCTGAGAGATAACAGGGCATTGAGGTGATGCAACAGGGTGGGAAGTTGGGACTATGGTGAGTACCAATGAGGATGGAGAAAGGTAGCAGATCTGAAATCCCCTCCAGCCTGGTCACCACCGAGATGGGGAGCGGGAGGCAGGGCCAGGCGCAGGGAGGCCCCCTCATCTGTCTCCCTGTGTCCCCAGCAGGAGGCCCCAGTTGGTACCATGGCTTCTGCCGAGCCCCTGACAGCGCTGTCCCGCTGGTACCTCTACGCCATCCATGGCTACTTCTGCGAGGTGATGTTCACGGCCGCCTGGGAGTTCGTGGTGAATTTTAACTGGAAGTTCCCGGGGGTCACGAGCGTGTGGGCCCTCTTCATCTATGGCACCTCCATCCTGATCGTGGAGCGCATGTACCTGCGCCTGCGAGGCCGCTGTCCTCTCCTCGTGCGCTGCCTCATCTACACTCTCTGGACCTACCTGTGGGAGTTCACCACCGGCTTCATTCTACGCCAGTTCAATGCCTGTCCCTGGGACTACTCCCAGTTCGACTTCGATTTCATGGGCCTCATCACCCTGGAGTATGCTGTGCCCTGGTTCTGCGGGGCCCTCATCATGGAGCAGTTCATCATCCGTAACACCCTCCGCCTGCGCTTTGACAAGGATGCAGAGCCCGGGGAGCCTGCCAACCTGCCAGCCCTGGCCAATGGCCACGTCAAGACCGACTGAGCAGGAAGATTAATGTGAGAACCTGAGGTCTCTCTTAGGAACCCATGGACAGAGGGACCAAGCTGGAGGGGTTACCTCTTGGTCCAGCACAAGCCCTGCCCCCAACTGGGTCTTAGCCCAATAGGGCAAACATAACCACATATGGTGGGCGGTGGGATGGTGTTGAGGAGTTGGGTGTCTAGACAACAGAAGGACTTTGGGACTCGTCCATGGCTCTCAACCCATCCTGGGGGCTGGGGCCTGGGCGGTGAACAATTGGACATCAAGGATGACTTTGGAAGCAACAGGCCTGTCCTGGCTAAGGGATGTGAACTCTGGGGCCACAGGTGGGAGGCAAGGTCTGAGGAGGCCTTGGCTGCTGTTGGGGCCACTGCTCCACCTGCCCCCTGGCTTCAGCTGGGCTTTGGCTGGTTCCATTAGGCAATATTCAGGTGCTTGCTTGCAACCAATACCTCCCCAGGGGCCTCCGAGCTGCAGCCTGAAAGAGACCCGGCAGCCCATTGGCTGCTTGGTGGCACTGCTGTTGTGCAAAGGCTGGGAAAACTTCCTTTGGCTCCTCTCCCTCCCCCAGGGCCCCACGCTGCTCCCTTGGCCTTCTGGGGGGCCCCTGTGGTGCTGGATTCCCACCAACCTTGGGCTTTTGGAGGTTTCAATCCCCGTGTGTTGGGTGGCGTTTCCCCTCTCTCTTATGTTCAAGACATTTCCCACTGGCAGGCAGCCTTTCCCACTATGTCCATCACTGTACCCTCTCCTTCTCCCGGCTCCCTACAGAACACAGCAGCGGCTAGAGGCACGTCTCTGAAATGGACCCCGCTTGCCTAACTGCAGCCTTCCCTCCACCTTCATCTGGTGGCCTGTCTCCCTGGCTCAGGTGGTCTGGTGCCCCTCCCGGCAGAGGTCCCACTGAAATCTCATCCTGTTCCCCCGCAATGTACATCTAGGTTCAGAGGTTTGCCGTGCATCCACAGTGCAGGGGGAAAACAGGCAGAGTTCTAGATCCTGCTTGCCCATTCTGGTTTATTTCTAAGCCAGTTAGTCAGTATGGCTCCCTGTGAGACAGAGGAACTGGGTGTCTGGTTGGAGACCCATGGAGAACAAGACAGACGCAGAAGACCATGAAAGGCTCTTTGGGAAAAGATGAGTTCTACCGTAGCCTCAGCTCTGTAGCCAACCTTCAGGGCTGCTCCTTTGATAGCTCCTCCTGGCCAGCCTGACCCTTTGAGCTTGTTCCTCAAACAGTATTAACCCTGTCACGTTTGTGGGCATTGTCATCTTGATCGTGCTAACTTTCTCCCATGGTGGGTCCATTGCTGGCAGTGGACAGGTGGAATCCTTGATCCAGGCTCCTTCTGATTTTGTCCCCCACTCTTTGAAAGGACGGCACCATCAAAGAGTGTACCGTCCTATGCAGCCACCCTAGAGCTCTGAGGTAGAAATCAGCCTTTTGTTTCTTTAGATCATTTAAAAAGTGACAGTAGCGTCTGTGCGGAGTCTCTGGACCATGCAGACAGTACCAGGCCAGGGCCAGCAGCTGGGCTGCTTGGGCTGAGAGAAACACTTGGAGATACAACCTTCTGTGGCACCTTTTTTCCCCAGAGTTTTCTCTGTCCAGGGTAGGAAGCAAAGTCCAGTCACCAAACACCATTCCGTTGAGGGTGAGGACTTATTGTAGCCCTAGTTCCAGGGCTTTAGGGGAGGGGGTATCACAGGGATTCAGGCTTCCAATGTGAGTGGTTGCTTTCCATCTACAAGTGGAGGGGACTCATTGCCTCCAACGCCGTGCCATCTCAGTTGCCTGAATCCTAACGCCTCTCCAGAGCACCTCCCATCTATCTTCACAGCTGAATCCAGGGGCTGGATGAGGTGTCCCAGCATTAAGACTCCAGTTCTCCACCAGAGAGAGCTGCTGGGTGGCTCCCAGGACTCAGAACTCCTGATATTGTCTTACAGGCATTCCCTGGCACCATTTTTTCCTCAGTGCCCTATTAATCCCATGTCAGGAGGAGTTCCCAGAGTGAATCTCCATGCCTGGCAAAACTCAGCATTGTGGTCTGCTTACCTAGGTCCTCTGTTGCTCCTAGGACCCTTCATAGGCACAAAACCCCCAGCCAGGGGAGGCTACAACGTAAGGCTGGACCACAGACCTGCAGGCTCAGACCTCACTGAGCGTAGCCCAGACTCCAATTCCTGCTTTATCGGCTATTTCAGGGCTCCAAAGCTTTAGTGCCCATGGGCATGAAGGTTGGGGCAATCGAGCCCTTCTTGGGGAGTCTGCTAGCTGTTTATGGAGCCTCTGATGTTCTGAGCCCAAGGCAAGACATCTCTGAGTTGCAGATAGTAAGTATACTGCCCTGCATGGGTTGAGTTGCTTTGGGTGTCTGCTAGGCTTCCGTGCCCTGTCCCCTCCTCATGCCAGAGAGTCACAATGGCCTGTGCTTATTTACAGCAATAATACATAGGGAGCATCTTTGAGTCCCTTTTGTCCTGGTCCCTCGCTCTTCGTGGTTCTCCCAGGAGGCTGCTCCACAGGTCAGATCATGTAAGGATCTATTTATGAAGCTCTGGGCTGTGCAAAGTGTCACTGCAGGAGGCAGGTGAGAGTAAGGCCAGGGGGGTGCCTTCCACCTCGAGGCCACCTGTACCTGGAGGAGCGATAGGCCCCAGCTTTGTCAGTGGTTAAGACTGTCTTCCAGCTGGACAGCTATTTGAGAAAGGCACATGACTGATTTGTGAGCCCATTGCCTGCTATGTCTCTGTTCATCTGTCTCCTCCTTTTCATAACTGTGCACATAAAATATACTGGTGTTTGTGTTCCTGGACTGGCTGTGACACATCTGTTCCACCGTGGGACCCTTTCCCAGGGGCTACTGGACGTTGGGCCCTTCACGCTTGACAGTGTCTACATCACATCTTCCTGAACAAGGAGGGTGGTGTGGCCCTGCTGGTCAGGTCAGCCCTGACCCTCTCAAGTAACTGGAATCCACCCCAATGTTCCCTAGCTCTTGTAATCCCAAAAGCAGATATGGACTCCAAGCAGGATACAGGTTGCCTGCACACACTGACAATAACCTGGTATGTCCCATGATTAGAGAAGGCTTGGGGATACTCAAAAACCAAAACCAAAAAACCTAAAGGCCAGAAACCTTTTGCACAACATGAAAACCATGCTTGAAGATGCAACTCCCTGCTCGTCTCTAGCAACCCTGCATTCCTTGAGAAGGGCCTTTGGAGGAAGCTGTTCTTTCCTACTTCATGACCTTGCCTCCGTCTGGCCCCTCTGCCCTACCCCTGCCACACGCCATACCCCTGACTACTTTCCTACTCTCAGGAAGAAGAGGGAGAGTTTAGCAGTTGCTCAGGCCTGGTCTACAGAGTGAGTTCCAGAACATCCAGGACCTACAGAGAATCTGTTTCAAAAAGAGCAAAGTTGTTCAGTCTGGTCTGCAAAAGCCAAATGTCCTGGCCCCTGTCCACAAAGTATGGCAGTATGTTCTTACGTCACTGGGAAGGCCCTTTGCTCCGAGTGTACCCACATATTCAGTCACCTGTCTTTGAGATCTCATCTCCTTATAAGACTTGAGCTATAAATTAAAGCATTCTAGCAGTCATTTGCATGCTAGTATATATATTAAAAAAAAACTATCAGGTGGTTCTTTCAGAGTAAGATTTTGTAGAAAGAGGTAAACAATGAATGCCTAGATGGAGCCTTAGGAAAGAAGCAGGACCTTCACTGAGAGGACCCAAGGCCTACTAAGAAGCCAGCTCAGCGAATGGCGTTTTACTCCTCCGCCCCACTCCGTGTGTGTATGCTCAGGTGCACACGTACATGAGTGCGCAGGATTGTGGAGCCAGCGGACAACCTCCGGTGTCACTCCTCAGGAATGCTACCCACCTCCTGTAAGACAGGGTCTTTCATTGTCCCGGAACTCACCGGTTAGGCTGGTCTGGCTGCCCAGGTAATCCCAATTGAAGAGCGTTTCTGCCTCCCCAGCCCTGAAACTGCAAGAGGTATATCACCATGTCAGAGCGTTTTTATGTGGGTTCTGGAGCCTAAAGTCGAGCGCTCATGCCTGGGAAGCAAGCCCTTTACTGATAGTCTGCCCCCTGGCTGGGTGGCTTCTTTTCTTGACACTTTAACCCACCATTCCTCTTCCCCTCCCAACCCAATCCAAAGGCTAAAGATGCGGCATTCACACAAATGGCCCAGGAGAGCTCATGCCCAGGTCTGCCCCTTCTAAAATCTTTCCAGTCTTTGCAAAAGCCTGATGTTTAACAACAGTGAAGAAAGATGGAAACTTGGACTTTTCCTCATGGGGTGGGTTTCTCTGTGCATTTCTGCCCTGCGTGCTGTCACAACCAGAGAACAGGCAGAATGCCTGGCTTGAGGAGGTGATACAGGAAGATGGAGCTTATGGTCCAAGGTTAGGGTCTCATTTAACTGCAGCTGTGGCACCAATGTACACACACGTTCATCTTTAATAGATGGAAATGTCCCTGTTTCATAGAGGACTGTGGACATCCAGTCTACAACATATTTTTTTGTTGTTATTGTTTAATTTTGTTTTGTTTTGTTTTGTTTTGTTTGTTTGGTGTTTGGTGTTTTTTTTTGTTTTGTTTTTTTGAGCCATGGACCTTGCCATGTAAACCAGGCTAGCCTTGAACTCACAGAGATCTGGCTGCCTCTGCCTTCCAAGTGCTGGGAGTAAAGGCCTGTGCACCACCAAGCCTGGCCTGGATTCACCCACCACATTTCTTTCCAAACCCCTTGCCTGCTTTTTCTGAGACCTCATTGCATTCTATTACCCACACTGGCCCAAACCTTTCCTGTCTCAGCTGACAACAGGCACATGGCAAGGCTCCCAGCTTTACAAATCTTGTTTTGACACAAGCAGATCTTTTTCAAGGAGGATTTGTGACGAGTCAGGTGCCCTTTGGTACTGGCGACTTTCTGGATGCCTTGAGTTCAGCTCATGTGAATGCTATTTACAAAGCTAAATGGAAGTGTTTTGTGAGTAGCAGGATGGGGCCTCAGGGGGCTATAATGGAATACCATCTTAGCCAAGCCAAGACAACTGGCTAAAGACCCCTCCCAGTGGAGGAGGTTATGAAATCTTGGCCTCTGATATGCTAGATTTATCCCTGACACCCGTTCTGTCCCTCCTACACAGTTTTATTTTTGCCCCAGGCTTTTCTCAATGATCCTATTTTCAACTTGAAGAGAGATGTCTGGGCCTCTGGCTGTATGTACTTTCCGAGGGTTTAAAACTACCAGATGAAACTTCTTCATCTGGTAGATGAACTCTTTGCCAGGCTCTTCCGAAAACTCAGACAGGCTGGAGGACTCACCCTTTTAGCTCCTCAACTCCATACTGGACACCTCCAAGAGTAGGGGCCAGGCTAGTGGCAATGATAGCTGATCAGGGGTAAAGATGTTGACAAGAAATCCCATACAGTTATGATCACATACCACTGACTGCTTCTTCAAGGGGGCATCTCCAACAGAGACCCTGCTTGTCTGCAGGGACAGATAAGGGTACCAAGGAAGAACAAAGTGCTTTGCCATTCTTTGATGCCTTCAGAGATGGGCTGGATTCTCATCATTCTGAAAACAGAAATTCTTTCTATGCTTGGGCAGTCTCAACTAAGTATGGAGCAAAACAAGTCCAGAACATAGTGGGTGCTTTAGGGACTTTGTGAGGAATGATTTTTTTTTTAATTTTATTTTCTTAAGACATGGCTTAATGTCATGACCAAGCCAAAAGCTTACAGTGATCCTCCTGCCTCAGCATCCCCAGTGCAGGCATGAGGCACCACCAACATGACCAACTGATAAATGAGGTTTGTGTTCCAGAGTAGCATAGGCTCTTCTGGGGACCCAAGACTAGCAATTCTGTTCAGACAACTAACCCAGTTATTGTCTGTGCCCACCATCATAGAGCAGCTGACAGACCTGTTCTCTTTTACAAATCCACCGAGTCCCTGAGGAGCCTTGCCAGGATCCTCTTGGAGCTTTTCATGTCTAGCCAAAGACCCAACTCTATTGAATCAGCCATTGGTTCATTCTGGTGGTATGTTATCTTGATCTTGGAAAAAGTGACATTTTAGAGTCAACTAGCACACAAAAGGAAAATCCACTGAGGGTGCATAGCCTTTGCTCCTGCTTTAATCACACCTTCTCAGCGGGGAGTTTTCTGGTTTATGTTAGCTCACAGTTTTGGAGATTTCAATCCACAACCAACTGACTCCCTTTAGGCCTATGATAGCACAGACCATCATGCAAGAGTGCATGTCAGATGAGACCTGTTGCCCCCGTGGCCGGGTACAAAGAAGAAGAAAAGGGTCAGGGTACCAGTGTCCCCTTCACAAGAACACACCCTGTGATTAACTAGGCCCCAACCATTCAAGGTCCATCACTTTCCAATACTGGCACTGGATAAGACCTTTACCACACAGACCTATGAAGAAGACTTACCCAAACATGGCAATGTTCTAAGAAGCAGAGTCTTGCCCAGGTCCTTAAAGACAGTCCTTCCCAAGGAGTGGGAACTAAGTAAGGGTAGGCTCCCAGGAGATCCTGGAAGTCCTCGCATCCTTTAGCAGCTGCCCTGTCCTCTCAGAGGCCAGGTCATGGATTGAGGTCAGCAAGACTGAAAGGTAGGCCTCCCTGGCTTCTGCAACCCTTTCTGTCCCAGCTACATGATCATCACTGCTGTGGGATGGACAGCACCTGTGGGTTCTGAGTGGCTGAGAACCAGATGTCTGTTCCACCAGATCCTTTACGAGATGGCCACTGAAGCCACCCTGAAGCAGTCTGAGTGCTCAGATCCCGTCCTTCCTACAGACCTGTGGAGTATCAGGGGTCGTGGTAGTGTTAGAAGATCCCACAGAATGACATGAGTGGTAGATAGCATACGTGTTCAGCCAGGTGGACTTTAGAAATCCCTGTTTCTGCCACTTACCATCTGTATGGCATTTGTGGTGGTTTAAATAAGAATGGCCTCCATGGACTCATCTATTTGAATGCTTAGTCACCAGGGAGTGGCACCATTTGAATGGATTAGAAGGATTAGGAGGCGTGGCCTTGTGTGTCCTGGAGGGTGAACTTTGAGATTTCAAAAGCCCATGCGAGCCTAGGCTCACTCTCTCTGCCTATGGACCAGCATATAGCTCTCAACTACTTCTCCAGGACCATGCCCACCTGCCTTCAACCATGCTTCCTGCCATGATGATAATGGACTAAGCTTCTAAAACTGTAAGCAAACAATTAAATGTTTTCTTTTATACGAATTGCCTTGGTTGTATTGTCTCTTCACAGCAATAGAACAGTAACTAAGCAAGCATTTGACAAGACACGGAGCCCTTCTGACAGTGTTATTTCGTAGATTTGGCTCATTTCATACATAATGACCTTTCCACCCCCAGACTGAGTGTGAAAGTAACCATGGCAAAGGTTCAGGCAGCAAGAGTAGCATTGGTTCAATTCAGTCCAAAGAGTGTTACACATTCATGTTACTAAGGAACATGTGGGTCAGGTCTTTGGGGGATTTTTCACTTTAGCCCATCACCTTGTTGATTACAGAGCAATCTGCTATCCTAGCGTGCCTGAGGCTAAGGGTTGTTCTAGAACATGGGACTTTTAACACCCAAACTAACAAAAAGAACACATTAGTGGAAGCACATTCCTTGTTGGTCACCACTCAGCACTGTGCAGAATGTCCTCTTTCCCATTGAATGTGGTCCTGATGAGACCCTTCCTCAGGTCTGAACCAGCAGACCTGGTCCACCTCCTTCATTTGTGCCCCAGCTCAAACACTCAGCT